ATGGATCCCGAGTTAGTGCGGTGTCAAAGTGGCTTTCAGATAGGGTCGGTCATTTGCCGCTTATGACGTGAATGGATATCTCTTTCACACGACAACACATGAGGAAAGTCGGCCCAATCGAAGAACCACAAATATTGGAGTTCTTACGCTTGCAAGACCGATGGGGCCGATTATTATGGGAGAATCAAGAAATCTCACGAAGTCAAATTTTGTGGTTCCAAACCCTTAAGCTGTCATATTCAAATGTCATTGGTTTGATCCTGCAGTAACGAGACGGACCCCTAATCTTGGGCTGGTCGAAATTCGTCAGGATTCCGTCTATCTAGGGGAAGATGTCTATGTTGTTGCTCAAGGGGTCGGCAGGCGCATGCAGCGACTCGACCGCCATCGCCTGTACCTCCCTCGCCTCAGGAGGAGGCGGAGGAGGAGCAGCACGAGCACGAGGAGCAGGCCGAGCAGGAGTAGGGCGAGCACGAGGAGGAGGAGGGCGAGCTCGAGGAGCCCTCGGCGGGGGGTTCCTCTTCCTCTGCTTCGAAGATCTGGTTGCGAGGCCCTTCACGCCTCCCGGACCAGCCTATACCTTTCATGAAACGGCCGGTGATTCGCCCCAATGGGCCAAGGTAAGTATCTTAAGATGTTATCGCTACTTCATTTGATATGTTTAACATGGCAAAATACAAACTAATATTTTTCCGTTAATCACTTGGACAGGGGATGGAAGGTTGTGGCTGCAGGTGATCACAAACGCCTTCCCGGTGGAATCCTGGGTCTTCTGTGTAGGGAACACTTCCCCGGCCTGGTGGACTGGGCAGGAGGGGTGGAGCCGGCCTACACGTTCGAGCACTACGCCTCTGCCCCCGATGCATGAGATCGAGAAGGTAGGAAATTCGACAACAAGGCACAGCGGGTTGTGAAAGAGCTGTGGGTAAGCCTTCCCCGCACTATCTTGCTCAATACATCGCATTCCTATCTCATCCTTGAAATAATGACTACATACATAATGTTTATATGCAGGATTACTATAGATGTGACGAGGGATACGAGGAGAGGGCCGAGAGGCATGCTCACAAAGCCTGCTACAAGCTCGTGAAGGACATGCACTACGAGGCGTGTATCCGGTTTGACAAACAATACAAAGTGTCTTCGAGGAAGTGAAGATCGACAAAGACCTCGCAAGAACCTTGTGATGACCAAAGAGCAATACATACTTTGGTAAATATTGTTTCTTCCTAAGATTAAGTACACTTCATTGTGTTCTTATATGACAAATGCTTGTTGACGTGTAGGTGCCTCCAATTTGGGTGGCGGTAAAGGCGAAAGTCTTTGGAGGAGGATGGTGGACAAGTGGTGCTCCCGGAGTGGTTGGAGACACACGCCGCTTGCCGAGAGCGGCGTTTGATGATGACAGTGCACCACACCATCGGGGAACCTTACCCTTGCCGAAAGCGCGGAGAGATGGGCACGTGACTTCATTTATGTATTCCAACGCTAAACGTGATAGTTTCTAATGATCTTCTTTGTTTGTTTCACAATCGGCGTCACATGGTGGCGCACCTTGCTCAGTGAAGGCATGGGCTATGGCCCACTAAGGGCAAGGCGACGTCCGCCGTTGACTTCAACCCGGAGGACCCCCTCTCGGCGACAAAGAATCCCTCCATCCCTGACTGTCTCACCGAGTACACAACGGCCAAAGGCGGTCCATGGGCCGAGTACGATCCGAGCACCAGGATTTGAAGGTGACCTTGTCATGAGGGTGGGAGGAGGCAAGAAGCATGGCAGGTACTGGCTTGGCGACAGCGTCATCAACACGGCCACTACCCCCACTCTCTCCTAGATCCGAGCAAGCGACACGGGCCAGAGGCCACCCATACGCCCACGGCCGGCCAGTACACAGCACGCCATGCAGACTTTGCAGGTTATTACTCTTTTATTCATCGTTCATTGTTTCTTACATACCTTTGATTTCCATTGTAACATTGGGGTAAAATTTTGTAGGCCGAGCTTGAAGAAGAGAGGAGGCAGAGAATAGCGTTGGAGGGCGAAGATTTGTTGATCGGCAGAGGCAGGAGCACATGTTTGAAGAGATGCACCATCTCGGCTTGAAGATGGGTGAACCTACGCCACAAGCGCTATTCCTTCCTCCTCGTCCTCCTGAAGACACTCCTGTGAGTACATCTATCCCCATATCCACTCACTCACACACACAGTCACACACACACACACACCAGCACACACACACCAGACGCTCTTGATACGTCAGATAGTTTTTCTCATTGGCAACCAAATTATGGATGCCATCTGCAGGATCTGATTAGATGTTTGCCATCATAGGGAAAAAGAGATTAGGAAAGTTTTGCTCTGTTATGTTTTTATTTTACAATAATTTGATTGAAACGGACAAAAAATCCATAGCTGTGGTTTAATTAGATTTTCGTTGCGAAACCTCGTGCCTTGTGTTTTTTTTTTCGTGTTCAGTGAGATCATTGCATATATAATGGACAAGGTCCATGAAATTCCCATTTTCTTTGTGCATCTACTTCAGACTAGAAATTTAATTGTTTATTTGGGACAAAAAAAATGGTTCAGATTCTTAAGGTCCTGTCTCTCGTAAAGCACCATAACTGAAACCAAGTCGGTCTCTCAAGACTTGCCAATTGCAAGGCGTGCATGCCATTGCCACCCACCTGATCCACCCCTCCTTCCTCTGTTCCCTCTGAAGCAAGCCTAGTACTTACCCTCTCTCTCTCACACACACAGTCACTTTCTCGCCCGGTGGCATAAGTGTGCATACAGTACATGTTTTTGAGCGGTCTAATTCAAGGCCCTGATGGCTCCTCGCGTCGCCTCCGTCCTGCTCTTCGCCATGGCGGCCATCCTCGTGGCCTCCGTGATCGGCGCAGGAGTTCGTGGCGCTGCTGCGTCTGCGGCCGTGGCGCCGGGACCGATCATTGGAGCGGCCTCCGCTCCGGCCTCCGCTTGTCGTCGTGGTGTCGTCCGCAGACTGCTGTCCCTGCTTGTGGCGACCACGATGCAGTGAGAAGCATATATCATCTACCGCTTATGTATGCTACACATGGTCATGGGCATGGAGTAGTAGGTTTTGTTTCTAGATTTGATTTGAGCGGGAATTTGATCGAGTGTTGCTGTTCCTCATTCTTTTTGTATCATATATATCTGCAACATTTATATATATATATGAATAAAAGTTGGATGATCTATTGCATATTTTTTATAGATTTTTTTTCCTGGGTTTGTTACGAATCATAAGTAATCTTATCTATTCTTTGTGCAGGTCAATCGGCGGCATCAAACGATGTACCTCATGACCCACCGCAGCAGTCGCCGTGGTCTAATTGGTGATTTGCTTCTTTTCATGTGTTGAACTTATTCCTTGTGTTGCACTTATGCTTGTAATGCACTTGTGGTGGATACTTTAAACTCGAACCTTATGTTGGTATTGTGGTATGACATTTGTGTACCATTGTGGATTATTGTGATGTATGTGATATGTGGTGTGTGGAGATGATATATATATGTGATATATGTGTTGTGTAATATATCTGTGCTGTGAAACATATTTGTGCTGTGATATATATATGTGCTGTGAAATGTAATGCAAAAACAAAAAAAAAATACACATTTCTGAGGCTTTGCCGAGTGTTATGACCAAGACACTCGGCAAAGCAAACACAATTTCCTGAGTGTTATCACCAAGACACTCCGCCAAAAGCTTTTTTTTAAAAAACCAAATATTGTTCGAAAAATGTTTGCCGAGTGTCTGACAGTTCGACACTCGGCATATATTTATAATTTGCCGAGTGCAGCACTCGGCGAAAGGATTTTAAAAAAAAATAAATACTGTTTGAAAAAGTTTACCGAGTGTCTAACAGTTACACACTCGGCATATGTTTATCATTTGCCGAGTGCAACACTCGGCGAAAAGGAATTCTAAAAACCAAAAATATTTCAAAAAATATATAAAACAAATATTTGCCGAGTGCCTTGCCGTTTGACACTCGGCGAAGTTGATGTTAACGGCGGGTCTGGCGTTACGACTGTTTCTTTTCGCCGAGAGCTAAACTGCACACGGCAACATGTTTACCGAGTGCCCGATAAATGGCACTCGGCAAAATTGGCTTTGCCGGTACTGTTTATGACGAGTGCTGTTCGCCGAGTGTTACACTCGACGAACAGTTTGCCGAGTGTTTCGGGCACTCGGCAAACTCAAGGAGTCCGGTAGTGAGTAGAGAAATCAAGATGAAGAGGTAGATAGAATGTACAATGCGATGGTTTCCTCGACATAATTTTCTAGGTTTCCTTTCTAATTAATATAATTTTTGTACGTAATACAGGATCCCTAAGGAAGTGATGCGCACAGTTCCTACATCAATTCTTCATAGCCTTGAAGGAATGCCTGGACTAGACTGGGCAAAGCTGCAATCAAGCGATGGATCCTTCTTGTTTTCTCCTGCAGCCACTGCATAGTATGCTCTTATGAATACTGGTGACAAAAAGTGCTTCGACTATATTGATAGGACAGTGAAGAAATTCGATGGAGGAGGTTAGCTAGATCGATGGCTATATATACATGCATGCATACATCATATCATGCACCGTTGTCCACAAGATTGCTTAGCATTTTTGTACCATCATTCTCTTTAATTGTTTGTTTTCGCCATTTCAGTGCCCAACGTTTACCCTGTGGATCTTTTTGAGCACATATGGGCTGTTGATCGATTGGAGCGTCTCGGGATCTCTCGTTACTTTCAGCAAGAGATTGAAGAATGCATGGACTATGTGAACAGGTTTTTCATTGCAACTTTTTCAAACTATTTTTTATTTGAAGATGCAGCGTGGCAAAACCCAGTTACTCCATTGTATGAGTAATGATCTTCTTTTATCTACATAACAAATATATAAACCCATTTTATAGGCACTTTACTGAAGAAGGAATCTGCTGGGCTAGGAACTCTGATGTGAAGGAAGTGGATGACACAGCTATGGCTTTCCGACTGCTACGGCTTCATGGATATAGTGTCTCACCAGGTAAAAAGGCAAACAGATCATATTCTTGTATGTCCTCTTGAACCATTTCACTTTATTATTTCCCATATATTGCATCTCTAACATATGTGCTGTTGCTTGTAGATGTGTTCAAGAACTTTGAGAAGGATGGGGAGTTCTTTTGCTTTGTTGGGCAGTCGACTCAAGCAGTCACAGGGATGTATAACCTCAATAGGGCCTCTCAGATAAGTTTTCCAGGAGAGGATATTTTGCACCGTGCTGGGACTTTCTCATATGAGTTTCTTAGGAAAAGAGAAGCTGAAGGAGCGCTTCGTGACAAATGGATTATATCTAAGGATCTACCTGGCGAGGTAATCCAATCCATGCTAACATTGGCAGATCCTATTTGTATATTGAAAACTGAATATACTAGATGTACAGGTTAATTGGTGCATTCTTGTTCGGTTTATGAATTTTGAGTTATATTTATCTTAGGTGTAATGGTATATCTACAATCTACTATCAGTACATAGCATACTACTATACTTTTGATCTACTAGTATTATCTTGTTTTACAACAACAAAAAATATCAGAAGCTCCAGAAATTACCTTGAACTTGTAAGATTCTCAAAATAATTCAGTAGGATTATTCAGGAGAACGAATAATATTTTCGAAAAGGCTGGCATAATGATTGCAACAACATATTAGTATGCATTAATCAATATATGTTGGTGTCCTATTAATATGTCTTTGGCATTAACATAACTTCTTAAAAGTTATTTGCTGCAATGTCTTCTATAAAACCAACAGAAATGCTGAATCTGATCAATAGGTAATATATACACTGGATTTTCCTTGGTATGGAAACTTGCCACGTGTAGAAGCAAGAAACTATCTAGAACAGTATGGCGGTGCTGATGATGTCTGGCCGGATCGGAAAGACGCTCTATAGGTAAAATAATTTGGCCCATGGCTATGCTTCATGTTCTTTGATGCAATTAAAGTCAAATTACCTCAATGTGATGATCGACCTTTGGCTATTTGGCAGGATGCCTCTTGTGAATAACAATGTATATCTTGAGTTGGCAAGAATGGACTTCAATTATTGCCAAGCTCTTCATCAGCTTGAGTGGCAAGGGCTGAAAAAGTATGTATATACAAGGGAATGGTGACACAACCCTTTTTTGTAGTTGCATTTTTTAGTTTTTTGGCCAAATTGACATGGTGAATATGCGGCTTAGAGAAAAAAATTAAAATATATGGAAAATACCTTAGGTAGCATAAACAAAAAATATTATTTGCAACCAGTTGAGTATTTATTTTTGTCATTATCATTTCTCAATACAAAATTTGTATCAACCTTGATAATAAGGTTTCTCGTACTTTACCTAGGTGGTACACTGAGAATCGCCTTATGGATTTTGGAGTGGCACGAGAAGATGTTTTGAGAGCTTATTTTCTGGCCGCCGCTTCCATTTACAAACCAAGTCGTGCCACGGAGCGACTTGCATGGGCTAGAGTGGCAATACTTGCCAACACCATTTCTACTCATCTTCATAACAATTCGTAATTCAGAGAATGCTTGGAACGTTCCTTGCATTGTCCCTATGAAGAAAGGGATGGGTCAGGGTAATTTTATATAACTCGCAAAAAAGGGTAAGTTTTATATATATATTGGTTATCCATTATATATTTGTATCCAAGTGATCAATCATCAATCAATAGCATGCCCCACAAGTCGATGTTTTCTTCTAAGAGCAAGAAAAATGAAAACAAGTAAATGGTTCTAGTAATGCATGACGAAATGAACTATGAAAATATGCATGCCAGTTATTTTAATGATTACAATTTACACTTCAGCTTGTAGTATGTAGGTGAGGTATAACATTGGAAGTGTTTACTGGAGAAACAAACTGTGATTTATCATTATAGTTTTTTTTTTTGAGTTTCTCCAGTTGCATAATGTAATGTATGGTTGACCTTAGTACAGTTGATGGAATATTTTAAACTTTGACCACTACCTTCTTTTTAACGGAATATATACTTACTGCTCTGAGGCCAATGGTGCATCCAGGCTTAACACAAATGGAAATGATGCTATTCTTGTGAGGGCACTTCTGCAGCTTACTGATTCGTTAGCACAAGAAGCGCAACCGATTCATGAAGGTCCAGAGTACATCCACACACTATTGACATCAGCTGTAAGTTAAACAAAAAAAAATGCACTTAGCAAGTATATCGTTTTGTTCAACAGTCATCCTAATACCATTCTCTGAACTTCTAGTGGACTGAATGGATAAGTGAGAAGACAAATATAGAAGCCAACGTATATAATGAATCCAATACTATGAAACAAGGATCATGCATGGTTCATGACAAGCAAACATGTTTGCTTTTAGTTCAAATGATTGAGATTTGTGCTGGGCAAGTTGGTGAGGCTGCATCATTGATCAACAACAAAAATGGTGATCGAATTATTCAACTCACAGGATCTATATGCGACAGTCTTAACCAAAAGATGTTACTATCTCAGGTAACACATATTACAGTAATTTTATTTCCACCCTTTGTACATAGCCATATAATATACGATGATTTCTAGGATTCTTAGTTTTCAAGAAAAAAAACTAGGAAGCTAACTATTGCAAAATGCAATTGTGTCGTACCTTAAATCTCTTGGATAAGACACAATTTTCTTTATAATTTTGCATAATGCAACTGCATTTTCATGAAGTTTGCATGGTGCTTCATATCTACGAAAATAATCATAAAATTCTGGTATTTTTGTTACTAGTGTATGATGTTGATTATCAATTACAAAATCTAAACCTGAATTAGAACTACACCGAGAATTAAAAAAACAAATTTCATTAATGTGTAAGCAGTCCCAATAACTTTGGGAATTAAGTGGACAAACTGGATAATCGAAGGTAAAAAAAACAGACTTTTTCTGACATATTACATTTTAGATCATTTTTTATGTTCCATGGGCAACTGATCCCTAGGTCTTCTCCAATAATTAACTTGCAATCTTTCATTTTCTGCTTCTGATGGAAGAAGTATGAAGGACTACTCCTTGCATACAAGAACATAAAAAACAAAATAAGTGCCTAGCACAACGAAGATGTATGGAGGTTTCCAATATCAGCTTTATTATCACCTCCAAAATTAGACTTCATAACCAACTACAATAATTGAGGGCGACACAGTTCCATGCGACAAAAATCATGCTTATTATTTTACCACTAAATTTGCCATAATAGCCTTAGCCACATTATTCAATGAACTAAGAACTATGCAATAATAAATTTATATTGCAATAGCTTCATTCTTTGGATCATTAAAGTGTATTTCCAATTTCATTTTTTTTGTAAGTGGTCCATGTTGAATGGAATAAGGATACAATGGTAGAAACAACAATTTCTTGGCAAACAAAATACAAAGTGGTATAAACAACAATTTATTAGAATGAGAGAATGTTGTTAATGACGAACTTTATTCATTTGTTGAAAAATTAGATCGTGTAAATTTTGTTTTAAGATTTCTACAAGACTACTTTTATTTCACTTTTTTATATGAACATGTGCTGAACTAATGATGTCTTTCTTTATAGGATCCCTAGAAGAATGGAGAAATAATAAGCAGTGTTGATGATGAAATAAAGTTGCATATGCGAGAATTTGTTCAATATCTTCTGAGTGTCCGTGAGAAACCCAATAACAGCGAGACCAGGCAAACCTTTTTGAGTATTGTGAAAAGTTGTTACTATGCTACTCATTGTCCACCACATATGGTGGATAGACATATTTCCAGAGTTATTTTTTAGCCTGTTTTCTCAAAACAAGGGTTTACATGCCGAGAAGAACTGTGAAGGGTAATGTTAGATGTGATACGAAGATAAAGGCGTACTACAGTCAAAGAGAGAGCTCCCTGCTCTGTGGGGTCCGAGGAAGAAGTGTGATGGCAAAGCCTTACCTCGCCTGATGCAATGCGAGGAGACCACGACTCAAACCCGAGACCTTCCGGTCACAAAGCGGTAAGACTCTACCGCTTGCACCAGCCCGCCTTCGGGATGTGATACTGAAGATGAAAGAGAAAAAATGTTGATAGTTGAAATTAGCGTTGATGTCACGCCTCAGACATTCTTTATGTAAAAGTAGCCCCTATTTTGAATAAAGATTATAATTTCTGCAATTTATGGAATAAATCAAGGCAATCGCTATGCCCCCGAACTATAAAATTAATGTGTCATTGAGAGAAATCTCGGCCTTGCTTCTAAGGCACTCCCTAAATTGAAATTTCTTATTAACATCAAGTTAAAATTTTCTTACCTAAATGATACTACCGTCCATTTCCTCCACTAACTGTGTTAAGTGGCCACCAAAATGACCCACATACTCCTCAGAACTACATGGTGTCCAATAAGAACAGCATGAATGTCCTAGTTATGTAATAAGGAAGAGATTAGTGGTAGTATCAGAAATATACTTCTTCTGACATAAACACATGGTTTTTTGACAAATGAAGGCTATAAATAAATATTAAATAACTTTTAAATACCAAGCTAAGAAATTTGGTGCAAAAAATTATCAAACCAATTTGAATGTGTCTCCGAGATTACACTAAATTTAGTAATTTACCAAACTTGACCCAAAAAGCTGAAAGTTTTCAATCTATAATAGGAGAAGCATAGAAAATATCCTTCCACTTCGCACAACAGAAAATTAACATTTTTCAAGTACAACTTCAAGAACAGATAGCTGATTTCATTAGCCAATACACTTCAGAAGCAAAATCAGTAGCAGAATCTAGCAGAACATAACCGAAACAAATTAAACAAATTAAACTCGCTCAATGCTAAATCGAAGAAATCATGTCGTATTGCTGCAGTACGTGTCGTTGCCTCGGCCGGAGACCCACAATACAGAACAGGTAGTGGAACGCGAGCAGAACGGTTGCAAGCGGTGGATTGGGAGCAACGGGGGTGTCCGCACCATGCCCCGAGCGAGTGCTCTAGGGTGCTGTTGGGAGAGGCCTCCTCCACCCCTGCCTCATCTTCTTCACCCGCGAGATCGGCCTCCTTTGATCTAGGGTTTGGAGGAAAAAATTTCGAGGAAGAAGAGAGACTGAGCGCGACTTGTTTCCTTTTTTTTGAAAACAAGACTGAGCGCGACTTGTTGTGAGGGGAGGTCACGGTGACTGGTTGGGCAGGGATATTTTGGTCCTCCTTCCCATTTCAATAATGATAGGACGAGGAGGTCCGTCTGTCCGGACAGACCCTGACCCACATGTACCTGTACCCCATCCGCACCTGTATCTGGACCACGACCCTGACCCGCCTGCGTCCACATGCATGCCTTACTAGCCACCGTCCCTCTCTCGCATGTCTCCAGCCTTAGCAGCCTGGGAATGGGAACATGGCCCACGTTCCCGTTCCCATGTTCTACATTGCGGGAACACGAATGTTCCCGTTCTCACGTTATAAAATGATACCTCAAGTTCCCGCTCACGTTCCGGGAATGAGGACGGGAATGGAAACATGGCTGCTAAGCCTCCAACACTACTCTCTCCCCTCTCTCTTTGCGGTGGGGGCGAGCGTCCCGGCGCAGCGGCCTCCGCGTGAGCAGGCCACGGCAAGGAGGCCCGAGCGGCCCTCGACACGGCGACGCAACGCGCCGAAGGCGGTCACGGGCGGACCAGCGCGGTAGGTCGAGCACAAGTGGCTCCCTGGCGGATCTGGCTCCCTCTCCCAGTCGTGCGAGCGCTGCCTCCTTGCCGTGTCGTGCAGCCGCCGCCACCGGTCCGCTGCCTACGGTGAACTCCACACACGCCGACGAGCCTTCTTTCTCCCAAGCAGCAAGGAGATGTTGCGTTGTGCTTAAAGCGCATGTTGCAAGCGTATATTTCAAGTGTTTTAGATATTTTAGAGGTATGTTGCAAGTGATTCATATGAATATTGCAAAAGTAGATCGGGATGTTGCACATATTGCATATGTTGCAAGTGTTTCAGATGAATGTTGCAAGATTTTTTTAAAATATTTTATCTGTTTCAGACATATGTTTGCAAGTATTTTGATCTAGATATTGCATATGTTTTCACACATATGTTGTAAGAGTATGTTTCATTTGTTTCAGTCAGCAATTTTTTTCATGTTGCAAGCTACAGGTGTTTTATCTGGAAGTTGCATATGTTGCAGTGGCTATAGACATATGTTGCAAGTGTATGTTCCAATGTTTCAGCTATTTCAGACGTATGTTACAAGTGTTTTATTTGGATGTTGCATATGTTGCAATAAATATAGGAAACTAGAGTTATGGCGGCAGACCCTTGAGTTTAAAGGTTTTAGATTGAGCAGAACTAAAACCGAATACATGAGATGCGACTTTGACGAAGTTGTACAGGAGGAGGAAAATGTGAGTTTGAAAGGTCAAGTAGTGCCTAAGAAGGATACCTTTCGGTATCTGGGATCGATGCTACAGAGGGATGGAGATATTGATGCGGATGTTAGCCATAGAATCAAAGCAGGGTGGATCAAGTGACGACAAGCTTCTGGCATTCTTTGTGACAAGAGGGTACCACAAAAGCTAAAAGGTAAGTTCTATAGAACGGCGATTAGACTGGCTATGTTGTATGAAGCAGAATGTTGGCCTACAAAGATTCGACATGTTCAACAACTGAGTGTTGCAGAAATACGTATGTTGCGATAGATTTACGGTCACACAAGAATGGACCAAGTTCGGAACGATGATATACGTGATCGCCTAGAGGTAGCATCAATTGAAGAAAAACTTGTCCAACATTGGTTAAGGTGGTTTGGCTATGTCCAAAGGAAACCTCTAGAGGCACCAGTGCATTGTGGAGTCCTAAGCCAAGCTAATAATATGAGGAGAGATAGAGGAAGACCAAAATTGACATAGGGGGAGGCAATAAAAAGATATTTGAAAACTTAGGATATACCTAGAGATCTATGTTTGAATAGGAATACTTGGAAAACAGCTATTGAAGTGCCTGAACCATGAGTTGGGGATCTTGGTGGGTTTCAACTCTAACCTACCCCAACTTGCTTGGAACTGAAAGGCTATGTTGTTATTGTTGTTGCTGCTGCATATGTTGCAGTGGCTATACATATATGTTGCAAGCTTATGTTTCACTTGTTTCAGACGTATTTTACAGCAAATACTTCACGTTGCAAATGTTTTCGTTAGCAGGCGAAGGGAAAGCGAGCACAGGCGTAGAAGGTCCCCCATGCGCGGGCGATCCCCACGTGCATGCGCAGCAGCTGGCGCCGGCGCGCAATAGCATGGGCGTGCAACAGCATGGGAGCAGCAGGCGCGCAACAGCATGCGAGCAGCAGCCGCGCGCGGGCGTTCGGACAGGTAGTTGGCCAGGGACATTTGGTCCTCCTTCAAAATTACTAATATATGGTCAAACAAGTCATCTTCTCTACCCGTGAGATAGGCCTCCATTGAACTAGGGTTTGGAGAAAAAAAATTTGGAGAAATTTTTTTTTCAGGAAGAAGAGGGAACGAGCGCTCCTTGTTGTGAGGGGAGAAGGTCACGGTGACTGGTTAGCCAGGGGCATTTTGGTCCTCCTTCGAAATTACTGATGTGGTCAAACAGGTCAATTAACAGATGAATAGAGGAAATGGCCGGGTGTGCCATTTAGAGAAACAAATACTTCATCATACTTTGGCTAACAGAATCAGGCCAGGCTTGTTACTGTACTTGCGTCTAAAAACCTTGCCTAACTTGCGGCGTGGCAATGATACCGACAGGCCTGACTGTTTGCTACAACAACCCAGCTCTGATAGAGAGAATCAGAGAAGCTGCGTTAACTCTGAAGTTTCAGAATCCACAACATATTTCACGACCCAAGGAACAAGCCTTTCAGTTTTGCCTACCTCCCTGAAGCACCGCAAGGGCTGAGAAACGTAGCAAAAATTCTTAACAAATTACAAGACCTGGCTGCAGTCAACTGATCTTGGTGAAGGCGAGTTTTATTTCATGAACAAGTACAGAAGGATGATGCACCTGTGGTGTAATACATCTGGAAATCCTTAACTGTTGCTGAACAAATTCGAAAAGGGTATACTTTCGAGTTTCGGTTTTCTCAACTTACAGCATCATTGTTCTATCTCGATAAACAGACTCGCCTGGGGATGCAAGCCTGCTTCCTCCAGTGTCAGGGAGTGCTTCTCTGGACCATATGTGACGCGTGGGAAATTCGAAACTAGGCTGTACTTCTCTGCTTTCAAGCAATCTAAAGAATCGACGTAGTCATAGAGGGAAGTGACGGTTGTAGAACTGTGGAATCTCCGCTCTTTGCGCTCTCCAGTTGGGAATCTTATGAGAACCTGCAACATCATCAGAACGTCTACCAGTTAGTTTCACAAGAATTTGCATACGTGAATACACTACTAATAGTGTAACATGCTAACTACTCCCTCCATGCCAAATTATAAGACGTTTTGGCATTTGTAGATCCATAATTTTTTCTGTGGACTTAGATACACACTGTCTAGATACATACTAAAAGCAATGTATCTAGAAAAGCTAAAACGTCATATTATTTGGAACGGAGGGAGTACTGTTCTAGAGAATGCAGAGGGCATATGCAGACATCAAACACAGGCACTATGTAGACAAAACTAACAATTAATTCTGAGATAGTAACAAGGGATTAATTGCAATTACTGTATAACATATCGTACATGAAACAGAAATTTGCAGGTACAACAGTGATATTTGATGCACTCAAATAGACATACTTCAAGAGCAGCACAACATGAAGCATGTTATTGTCATCTTGCAGTAAGAATTGGAAAGAGGTACTTTAAAAGACACGGGCATAGAGGGTTAGACATACCCGAGTAACACTTGGTCCTTTCTCAGGTTCAGCTCCAAGAGCCATGGCCTTCTCTTGCCTCCTCCTTGCAAGAGCAGCTTCCTTTTCAGCTGCTTCTTGGGCTGCCCTTGCTAAAGCTTCCTCCTCTTCCTTGCGCTTTCTCTCAGCCTCTGCAGCCTCTCTTTCACGTCTTTCCAGTTCCTCTATCCTTTCACGTTCCCTGGCCTGGTAATTTCCAATAAAAAGTGGCGATTAGATAGTGTTATCACCACCAATAATAGCACAAAATCAGGATGCATGTTTCTAAACTCTGTTGATGCATTATGCAATAATATAACATGCACAAACATAATACTTGAAGATACAATTTCCTTAATAACTATACAAATTTGAAATGTCATCAGTCACAAAGAGCTGTCCACATAACCACCCTCCAGCCCATCATGAACATCCTCACCATACATTCATTTTAAATAAAACATGTGTACTTTTCTACTATTAAAGCACACTGCCCATATAGCTTAAGATACCTGGTCAACTTCAAGTGCAGCTCCGTAAGCAGCATCTTGTTCCTCACGCAAACGTTGGTTGTTTAGTCTCTCTTCAGCTTCAATCCTGGCAGCAACGAGTGATGTAGCGCATTCTTCAACAACACGTTGAAGAATTGTTATCATCTCTTCAGGTGATTTGGGCCCTTCAACCTTTGGCACATGAATATATAACTTATTAGCAATACTGATAAATAAAAATTCTTACAGTTTTACAAGCCAAACATATGATATACCACAATACTGATCAACTCTATATGGTAAAAGAAGTGCATCCAACAGCTTTATAGGCCAAACATATACCATACAGTCATATATATTTCTAAATAAACAACAGCAATACCAAAAAGCATAAAAGGCGTTGGATCGATTAATGAATAATGAGTAGCGTTCTCTAGATGCTTTATTTCACTCAACCACAACATAAGATCAATCTTTTGAATAAAATGATGTGAGCCCCAGTGAGAATGGAGGAATGGGATACATAAGAATATCAAACAGGATTTTGCTATATAAACAGATATACAAGTCATGCTAACAAAAATCATACCAATGCAAACAAGCTGTAGCACCATCCATTAGAAATTCAGAATGAAGCAAAGTTGCATCATCAGAATTCGGGTGCCTATATTACAGGATTGTTGACTGTGCGAACAATGACACTAATCACTTATTTACCAAAAGGTTGCAATGTATTCAGCTATAGCTACTCGGACAGTTGGACCAAGCAGATGACATGAACCAGATTTTTTATATACATATATAAACAGACTTCTAGAGAAAATATAGCCAATAATTATAACCAGACACACAATCAAATACTAGTAAGAAGCCACAATTGCAGCAGTTTAGTCAAATTCTTCTAACAAAAAAAATCACCACATTAGCTTTCAGATCATGACTCTTGAGCAGTCATAGCCAAAATTCATTAGATTATTATAACAAAAATTCCAATATAATTAGAGAACAATCATCTGATTGCATCTAGTGATCTTACAATATGCTGGAATTGTGTAATAGATCCAAGGTTTCAGGATATGGAATTGGTAGGTGCAACTCCCACAAATTTACTCTCAAGGATCCTATCAATTGTTTCAAGCGATTGGAAATTGAACATGAAAACAACACCTACTAAAATTCTCACCGAAACCTCATTCTAACCAGTTAAGCGATAGAAGTGAAAACTATATTCATCCGATCTCAAACTCTGAAGTTTGGTTTCAATTACCATGACATAGTATGAACATATCCAAAAGTGACAAGCAGATCAAAATCTTGTGAATACCATTTCATGATATGCATGCATGCCTAACTAAAGGGACAGAATAAAGTATTCTCTTACAGAGGGGCAGCATGAAAGTTATTACAGCTACCATCTCAGATAGGAAATTTACATTTTAACTCAAGAAGAAAATAAACTACAGACACTCCAAATACCTAATTTAGCTAGGTTAACATAAACAATTACAAAAGAATCTAACATTTGCACTATCTTGCTGGAGGCAATAGCACTCTCCTTTCTTATTATAACCAGCACCAACTCCATAAGGATAACAATAGGCTAACTTCAGCAATTAAAGGTTCTAAAGTCTAAACTACCAAACAACTTGAAGATATTAATAATAAGCATTGCTGAACTAAGTCCACAGGATCTAATGGTTTCACATAAACACCTTCACTGCAATTAATGTGGCAACCAAAATTACCCAAAATCAGAAATCTACCAAATGCAACAGCTAAATCCAACGTAGATGAATGTTTAAACTTATTTCCAGACCTAACAAGAGTCATTACAACATCATACCTGCTGCAATAGCATGATTCTCTGGTTCGTAGAAGCCATGACCACAGCACAAAACGGGAACCTGGACGCATTCAGGCTGTTGCTCATCTTGAACCCTTCAGTCCTTCTGATGCTACCACCCCACGCAACGAAGTTCTCATCTATAAAGGCCGCGACGGGCTCAGAGCAGAGGCAGCCACCGCAGAAGGCAGGGGTATCCAGGTGATCAGGGGAGTGGAGGTACACGAACAGAAGCTTGAACTCCCGCTGCGCTCGCTGCAGCGCATCAGCGAACCCCTGGGCCACGAAGCGCGGGCCGCGGCCAGCGCCGAACTCGCGCTCGAACTCAGCGACGAAGTCGGCCGCCTCGGCAGATGACGGCGGCAACTCTAGCAGGCGGTCGCCGCTGCCGGCCTGCCCCGCGAGGCCGAGGAGGGAGAGGGAGCGGGACAGCACGCCCCCGGCGACCCAGGCGCCAAGGCGGAAGGTGCCGGCGACGAGGCCGACCCCGCCCGAGACCACGTAGAAGGGGAGCGTCACCAGCCTCCACGCGATCCCCGGCTGCTGCTGCTGTTGGGGCGGCAGCGGCATCGGCATCGGCGGCGGGGGCGCGACGAACTCCGCATCAGCCGCCAGCGGGGCGGAAGGGGCCGGGTCGGCGCGTGAGGAGGTGGAGGCCGAGGCGGAGGGCGAGGAGGGGTTGGCCGTGATGGAGGACACCGCGAGCTGCAGGTCCCAGTTGTGCGCGGCGAGGATCTCCGTGCAGAGGTCCGTGTCGGAGATGCCGGTGACGGCCTGGAAGTAGCTGAGCTTGTCGTCGACGGTCTCGGCCATGGCCGCCGGCGACGAGGGCTAGGGTTTGCGGATTTGGGACGGTGGTGGCGGTGGTGGTTAGGAACTAGGAAGGAAGGGGGCCAGAAGCCGAGAGAGATGCGGTTGGTTGCGACTTGCGAGCCGGGAGGGCGACGGGGCAGTGCTGACGTCTTCTATTCTCCCTCTCGCCGTCACCGCCAGGCGCCAGCCAACGAGAGGAAACGGCGTGCCGTACTTAACTGCCACAGCTTTACTGTACGCGTCAGTTTCTACGAGTATTTTTATTTTACGAGACTGTTTGGCAAGAAAAAATGAGCGAAATTCTGAGAACCAGGATCAGAATTTCAAAGAATAAGAAACGATTTGTTCAAATAACACTCTGCTTTGGACCAAATCTTCGCTAGTACTACAACGTTTTGTTGCCTCTTGTTTCACGACTTCTATCAGATGTCCTGCCGACATTTGGCTGAATGCAACCATCAGCCCAACAGACACCGCAAGTGTCACGACTTGTCGCTGCGTGCCGCCGTGTCTGCTGCCTGCGACCGTGCGATCCTCCTACCCAGCGCGCGTGCGCTGGTAGGGGTTGCGGCGCTGGCGCGCGCGCTCCTAGGGGTGGGGTAGGTCCGACGCTCTTCTGGATGTCACTCCTATCGTACTTCATTCGTTTTAAAATAAATGACATCTTATTTAACTGTTTGTCTTATTCAAAAAAATTATATAAATATTATCTATTTTGTTATGACTTATTTTATAATTAGAGATACTTTAATAAAAAATTATTTATTTATAATTTGCAAAAAAGTTAAATAAGATAAATGGTCAAATACGATATCGAAAAGTTAAAAACGTCACTTGTTTTTGGAACGGAGTAGTAAAGCAGGAAAGCTACCCTACAAATATGGCAAGACTCATGGTGATGGCATACTCGGCGCAAGGCATCTTTCAGCTATTGTTTGCGTCTAGCTATTCATTTGCTATTGTAATAGAGTATGACAGTTGGGTCCCACTGACCAGTTGGCCTTAGGCCTTATATTCTTGTACCCGTGGCTTGTAAGGCAATTAAGAATATTTTGCTATCAAGTAAACGGAAGACAGAGCCGTCCTCTGCTCCTTCCTCGTCGGCGAGATCCACCTTGTCTCTCACGTCTCATCGCCGTCGGGTGGCCACGGGTGTTACAAAATAGAAATAGAGGACGGCGCAAAAGGCTAAAGGGGTGTTTGGTCCAGCGAATGGTTACATATTAATAAAGAGCATTAAATATAGATTAATTACAAAACCAACTACATAAATGGAGGCTAATTTGTAAAACGATTTTTTAAAGTCTAATTAGTATGCCATTAGCACATGTTTATTGTAGCACCACGTTGTCAAATCATAGACTAATTAGGCTTAAAAGATTCGTCTCGAAAATTAGTCGTAAATTGTGTAATTAATTTCGTAATTAATCTATATTTAATACTTCACGTATATATTTAAACATTCTGATGTGACAGGAATTTTAAGAAACCAAAGGGCCTAAAGCCACACCTTTCGGTTTCACGATGATTGACAAGACAGAGACACACTCACGGGAAATACTTGCAGAATCTTGCAATCATAAGAATTTCTGGACTGAATCATCTCCAACGCAGGGACTAAAGATCAGCCCGCATCTTAACAAGCATCATGACCAAGTAAAGCAAGATCACTTCAAACAGGATTTCAAGCTCGTATACAATTTTCAACAACATTAGTGTGTGTACACGAAAACAACAAACTGCATTACAAGTTTCCTCTAGTTGGATTCAGCCTGAGAGATACAGAAGGGACGAAGGGTGCAGAGCCTCGCAATCCAGTAGTACATCCATATGCCTACAGCTCCTCGATAAGAACCGTGGACTGTCGTTTGCACTTTCTATCCGCCTTCCAATTCCCGGTGTTGGATGCCTACAGCTCCTCGATAAGAACCGTGGACTGTCGTTTGCACTTTCTATCCGCCTTCCAATTCCCGGTGTCCAACTCCTCCAGGGATGCTTTCTGCACCTGGACGATGCGAGCTAAAGATGGCCACGCCACATTTGGCTGCTCATGGACCCAACAAGTCATGAAGAATAGCTTCCTAGCTGCGCCACTGAAGCTTTGAGGAGCTCTGTGCCCTCTCCGTCTTGCCCACTTTCTCCTCCTTCAGCATGCTCTTGCCAACTTCAACGAGTCGATGGAAGTCGATAGTGCACAAATAAGCGCATTCTGTCCCAAGGAGAGAATGGTGATGATATCATCCACGAGTCCAATAGCAAACCTGAAACCACCAGTATGCCTGTAAGCTGGTGAGCATGTCTCCTCGATGCAGGCCGTGAGTGCTTCAGGTACAGTCTCAGGTTTAGCATCCTGGCCCATGACTTTCGACATTGACAGGGCGACAGTGGAAGCACCCAAAGGATCCGAGTGCCAATCACCGTTGTAGAGCCGAAGTGTGAAGCAGTAACTGTACAGGATGTCAACCAAGTGGACAGCAAGCAAAGGAGATGGCTCTGTCCTTGTTAACTGTTTCAGTGACGGGAGAGGAGATTCTGGCCCTTCAGGGATTTCGTTGATGCTAGCCTCTTGGTCAGTCTTTGGATCTGGATATGATATAGCAGTGTCTTCTGTGTTTACTTGTCTGATAAGCTGACTTCCATCCGGGCCAAGGGAAATCGATCTGGCTGACGGTTTTTCCACCAAGGTGTCCACGGTTCAATCATCTTACTGAGCTCACCTGAGGCCAGAGCTTGACGAAATCGTTTGATTTCATAATCAGAGAGGTCTTCAAGCCTTATCTCTTCCCCTGTACGGTAGAAAGAACAGAGCAATATGTGCCCGATGAGATACCAATAAAAAACTCAATATGCATACCAATATTTATTGATTCTAACGAACTTGTAGTCTAAAATGATAAAGACATAAATAGCACCCAGAATAAGTAAAATGAACAAATATAGATGCTGATTTACTGCATTGCTCATCTAAAAACACAAATCATGAAACAATTGAACAAAAAGAAATATCAAAACAAAATAATTGGAGTTGCCACCCATCACCAGCATTTGACAACCTAATTAATTGCTAGAAGGTCAGGCCACAGGGCCAGGTTAAATCATGAAAACAATTGGACAGAAGGAAATATCAGAACAAAATACTTGGAGTTGCCACCGATCACCAGCATTTGATAGCCTAATCAATTGCTAGGTGGTCAGGCCACAGAAAGACAGGTTAACCAAAAGGGAGTAATAAACATAATTCTCACATGAAGCGTTAATCAGGAAATTCAACCGTGAAAGCTCTTCCCAACTAAAGTCCACTTAAGGAATTGTGATTGCTAAGAGCAAGATAAGATTGTTTAAAGAGCACACAAAATTTCATAAACACTAAAGAACCTATTATAGTACTAGGAAAAGCTACTGCACTGTCACATTTAGAATGGCATGAAAGTAAACATAACGTACCAGACATAACTTTTGAATAAGCTCCTCTGATAACATTGACTCTGCAGGACAAAAAGGTTAACATGTCAAAAATAAAATCTTCAGTAATTTACTATAGCAATATGTACGACCAACAATCTACAAGATGAAATATGATTTATCCATAATTACAGAAAGGTCTACAAGATGACATATGATTACAGAAAGGAAATGATTTCAGAACAGACAAGCCACCATAACTCAATAACTAGCTATAAACAGGAAAACTTAATGTACCAAACAGCCAAACTGTGATTGTAGCATACTGCGCATGGAGCTCTCTGTAGTTTTGTCCTCATTAACAGTGATCATAATAATGCGATTATGTCTAGTGCTATTATTAAAGGAGTAAGATAGATCAATGGCATAGGAACATAGCACACAAAACATACCATCTTCACCATCTGACTCCATCTCTTCTTCCAAGTGGAGACGCTTGAGGATATCTAGCATCTTTTTCTTTGTTTCATCCTCAGGTTGCATCTGCTTAAGCTCATCCATAACATTCTCATGCATGAAGGATTCAGTGCATTGAACACTATGACCCTATGAAACAAGAATTGAGAAATTTATTTGAAGCAATATCAAGAAAAAAAATGCAATGCAGTGCAAAATTATCTGCAATCATTGCAAACACCAATATTCCTTTGCATCTGTGTGCATAGAAAAGAAGGCACACAAACTTGACAGCTTCAATCTCTCAGTTTTGAATAAGACGTTATAACACCACACAAGCAGTTGTATAAGCCAGAAGCTTGTTTTTCGTGCGTGAATAAATAAGTAGTTTCTTTCAAAAACTGATTGAAAGTCTCAAACAGACATACTGATCCATTCAGACCAGCAACTAGAGATGAACTACAGCATATAGGTACAAAAAATCACATTACCTAGATTCGACGAATTCTTACAGCTTGTTGTCACTTGAGATGTTAGCTGATCCAAATTATGCTGGATTAGGTCACAAAAGAACCCCAACTATTAAACCATAGGACAGATTCACTAAAGGGGAAACATGGAAATTGGAAACTATGACATATAAACTTAATTTAACTTTTTTGGATTGCTCATTTAATCTAAATGCATATTGTTTAAACCCAGCACAGGAAACAAAATGAACTTCCATGTAGATCACCAAATATACAGGCCAAAGTGAACAGCTGGTGTGTGGTTCGTATGATTCATAAGGAAGTTGTAGTTTATATTATGGATAGTTGCACATTTTGAGCAGGAATCAGAGAATTTCTTGTCCAAAAGCTTCGAAAGTCGGTGCAGCAATTCGACAAACACCTTGTGGGCATCGGCAGAAGGCAGCCCGGGAATGAAACCAGTGAAATCCCCAAACGGTATTCTACAAGCCCTAAGACAGGACGACGCGCAACGAGATCACACACACAAAACGAGAGGCGGCCGCACCTTGTAGCACGAGAGCGAGCAGTACCGAGCGTTGCAGCGGGGGCAAGTGTACTGCGCGAACTGCTTCTGACACCTGCAAGCAAGCGACACATAGAAGGACGCATTAGCACGAGCAGGCAAGTACCAAGTTCCGCCGGGGCCCCGATGCTTTGCGCCAGCAGGAAAGGAGAAGCTGTATGGGGGAGCCAAGCCTTACACGCGGCAGATGACCCTGGTCTCGGCGAAGGAGGAGTACGACGAGGAGGCGGGGGTGGACGAGGACCCGGCGGCCTCGGGGTCGGAGACCACGACGTCCCTCTCCATCGCCGGCACACGAGGTTCCTGCTCGTGCGATTCCCGTTCTCTCTCTCTCGGCGCCGGCGGTGTTGGCTTTGGTGGGAGTTGCTTTCCTCCGACCTCCGGCGTGCGGCGGGCGCGGAGAGGCTTCCCGATGGTCGGCGAAGGTTGCACTTCGCCGGGCCTATTGGTGGTGATGGCCCAAGCATAAGGATTTGCATTCGGGACTGGAACTTGAACGCGGAATGGGCTGATTCACCCAATCGAAAGCAGGCGGTAAATTCTGAAGCGGTCCAGTGGGCTACTGTTGTTGCTGGGCTAGCATCCAGCAGCTACCAAGGCGGCCAGGCCACTCTACGTGCTACGCCATTCACCGAAACTGGTGCAGCACGAGTAGTCTAGTTCGGAGCTTCGAATGAGTGCACCGACACTTTGGGAGTCCTTCGTGAGTTCATTCCGGTACAAGTACAACGGCGCGTAAATACGCCTTGCTGCCTCGCCCACGCTGCTATCTACGCAAGCTGGTTCAACAGTGTTTTTAGGACAACTCTAATAATGGTTGTAAAGTAGCTTCAAGCATATTACTATTTTGTATTTTAATAAAAAAAGAAAAATATCTCTTGGTTCAGAGCTAGTCCCGTGTATACATTTGAAGATTACGTGAGCATATCATATGGCACTTTACTTTTTTTTGATCAAGGATTATATATTTCATCAAGCAAATAAAAAGGTCCCAAACTCTACTATTGGAGAAATTGAGCATGTTCGCTAGTTGGTTTCTGGGCTGATAAGCTCGACTGGTGCTGGTTTATTGTGAGAGGAAAACACTGTTGGCCGACTGATAAGCCCTGACTAAAACCAACAAGCGAACAGACTGATTGCCATATATATGACGTTATTCATGTTATGAGACTATGAGTTATAGGCTAAAAATTGATATTATTAGGAAAGTTATATTAGACCTAATAACTGGCCCGTACTATTGAGGGAGCATGTCTAAAACTGCGTGTTTGCTTGCTTGGCGAGTCTTGCTTAGAGCAACAGAAGCATCTCTCTTCATCCTCGGACCTAAAACTTTGGTAGAATTTGGATGGTTTAGCATGAATGAATTCTATATCTAAACCGGTCTTTTAAATTAAGTTAACTTTATAGAAAGTATTTATTAATATTTTTGTCTCTAAGTATGTTTACTATAAAATTGTGTTTTGTAATTAGATTGGATCAAACTAAAAATTGTTGACTCTTGGAAAGTAAGAATTGCTGTGACGATGGAGGGAGAACGCATTTGTTTCATGACACTTGCGCAATCCATGCGGCTGGACGTACTGTGTCACACCTCACAGGACCTCGGTCTCACGTGCCGTCCGCGTGTTTGGAGCGTGTCCAGAGTTTCAGCCTGTGTGTACTTCACGACGACGGTGGTACGGTGCGGTGCGGAGGTGGGTGTGGCCCACTGACCCCCGGACGATTAGACGGGCCACCCGACCCCACCGCAGGAGAAGCAAAGCAAAGCGTGCAAGTCCACGACCGCGACACGGGATCTCCCACTCGTGCACTCGGCCGCAGACGCCGCGAGAATTTAACGAGAGAGACTGGCGCCGTGCCTCGCGAAGCCTGGAGCCAACCAGTGACGCGGCGAGGCACGGGTGGGGGGATGCCAGGAGCGGTGGAGCCGGCAGAGGCGGACGCGGCGGAGCTGCTGCTGCTGTGAGTCATCGGCGGCCGACGGCGTCCGAGCGCCGGCGCATGTACCGCGACCTGGCGCTGTCGCTGCGGTGCGGACTCCCAGTCCATCCGAGACCTCCAAGGTCGTCCCACGTCACGTTCACGTCTCGCCGTCGTCCCGGCTCTTCTGCCTCTTCCATCTTCTCCATTAGTCACTCTTGCCGACGGAACTGGGTTTTGCAGTGATCCCGGTGCTGTTCGAGCACAACCTGCGCAAGGCGGCGACCGGGGCCGGGGACGCGGTGCTGACGGTGGCGCAGGTGCTGGGCATGGAGCCCGCCGCCGGCAGGCTCAGGAACCCAGCCACGGACTCCGAGGTCGTGCTCGCGCTCAGGGTGCTCGAAGGCTGCTGCCTCCTCTGCCCGGCCTGCGCCGCCGCGGCGCACTGCTACAATGCCGTCAAGGTACGTACGGCCTCGCGATCGGTGCTCTGCATTTGCTTTCCGCCTTGGGAAATTTGGCGTCCTTCACTCAGAGTTGTTCGATCATGCCCGACGTTCGTTCTTCTGGTCTGTCCTGCGCCTGCCTTTAGGCCCGGTTTAGATCTGACCCAAAATTCAAAATTTTTCAAGATTTTTCATCACATCAAATTTTACGACACATGCATAGAGTATTAAATGTAAGTAAAAAGAATAACTAATTGCATAGTTTGTCCGTAATTGGCGAGACGAATCTTTTAAACCTAAATAGTCGATAATTTGATAATTTTTGCTAAATATAAACGAATGTGCTACAGTAACCAAAAGCCTAAAATTTTCATATCTAAACGTCCTTACTACTGTCATTGGTTGGCTAGTTCTTTTCAGTTGTCAGTTGTCACCACACACACTAGTACAGTACATGAGGCACTGCCACTGGAGCTTCGCTTAGGAAGTTGGACCCGTTTAGTCACTTCATTTTGCAAAATTTTTTAAGATTTCTCGTCACATCAAATTTTTGGACGCATGTATGAAGCATTAAATATAAATAAAAAATAAAACTAATTATACGGTTTAGACGAAATTCACGAGACGAATCTTTTAAACCTACTTAGACTATGATTAAATACTAATTGTTAAATAACAACGAAAATATTACAGTACCATTTTATCAAAAATTTTGCATGGCAGGACAGGGACAAGTTCTCTGCAGTGGCCCGTCCAACACAACCATCATGTCCTGCTCCTGCATCTGCTTTGCTCAGGTTTTGGGTGTATGTTTCATTCCAGTAGTACGGGGTTCAAGTGCTGGGCCACAACCACAAGGATCCCGTGGTCCTGGGCTCCGACAAAGGCTGTGTTAGATCGTGAAATTTAGGAATTCGACAATGGCAGTATTTTTGTTTTTATTTGACAATTAGTATTCAATTATGGATTAATTAGACTTAAAACGTTCGTCTCGTGATTTTCAACTAAATTGTGCAATTAGTTTTTTTTCGTCTATATTTAATGCTCCATGCACGTATCGTAAGATTCGATGTGATAGCTACTATAGCACTTTTTGGGAATCTTTTTTAAACTAAACACAGCCAAAGTACTTCACCCAGAAGACGTTCAGTTCAAGTTTACTAAATTATGGTTCCTTGCACGGCGGGCAAAATATATACTACGTCTATCCCAAAAGATGCAACCTCTGTTTACGTTTGACTAAGTTTCTTGTAAATATGATTCACATTTATGGCTCCGAATTAAATTATTATGAAAATATATTTTGTAATTAATCTAATGATATTTATTTGATATTATAAATATTTATAATTTTTTATTTATAATTGGTCAAACTTGGTATACTAAAATATGACATTGTCTCAGAATTGTATTCTTTTGAGGACAGAGGCAGTACCAAAATAGTTCGAGACATTGGGTGGGGATTGGTTCATGCGCCAGTACGCAGACAAGTCGTGTTCTTGCCGTAAACAGGCGACGCTATGCTTACAACTGCTTTTGGATTCCTTGAACACCAAAGTAGTACTGCGTGCGTATGCTGCTGCTGGCTTTAATGCTGTTTCTATCTGAACATTGCATAAACTACACTTACTATGGCCAGGTAGTTCTGAATATACTGATGACACGGGGAATCCTTGAGCAAAGAGCGTGTCTGGACACCCTTTTAGCGTTGCTGGTGGATTGTTCAGAAAACCTGACGGTAATTAAGATCTGCTCGCGAACATGGAACCATTTTAATCTTCTTTCTACAGTTTGTCTGCTCGTCTTTTTGTGCCTGTGTTTCCTTTGATCACCTCATGTTGGCATCTTTGTAGGATTTCAAAGAACAAGATGGGCTAAATAAAATTGCTGCTATTGTAAAAGATGCAAATAGGGACGACAATGTAAGGTCTGTTGGTACTCCATAACACGTTCCATTATGACTAACAGCTTCATCGCAATAAAATAATGTCACTTTCTTTATGTTCAGATTAAAATGTTCGGAGTTCCTGCTTCTTTACTCTGGAAACGCAAAAGAAAACTGTGGCGCAGATTCCGAGTCTAATATGCAACAAGACTTGGAAAAAGCTTTTGGAGAAAAATGTGCATCATTTATCTGCTCAATGAACCTATTCAGCTCAACTCTAGATTCACAAATGAGGCAATCTGAGCTGAGCTTTCTTTCAGAGCATGTGTTGGATTACATGTAGTAGAGCCATACTAAAGATGACCATAATTGTGCCATTGCCTCCACACTTACGCAGTGGTCAGTGGTCGAAAACAGAGTTCGGTGCTCCAAAATGTATGTCTCCTATTAATTTGGGTAATTATTGACGGTGTTACTATATCAGCTCAATCCTGAGGTTTCATATGCGTTAAAAGCGAGCAATGGTTGCCTAAAGGAAACATGCATCAAGCTAACAATAAGTTTATACTAAATTTCTGCAGCAGAGCTATGTATTATTTTATTAAGAAGAGAGTACTCAATGAAGAATGCCATGCACACAATGGCACCACACTTGAACAAAATGAACATAAGGACAGGACAAATGCGCAAAAAACACCAACCCTCTAGAACAGGGTCTCGAGGCTAGAAGCCTCGGGCCATACACCATAGGCACCATCCTTTACTGTCCGCACCATTATTGTTGACAATGCAGTCATTATGTGTTTCCGATATCACAAGCTACTAATACAAGTATATTACTGGTGCTAACGCTACGGTGGCGTCTAGAAAAAATAAATCATAAAATCAAAATAAATCATAAAACTAAAAAATAAATAAATCAACCGATGAAAGAAACATAATTAACATTAAGTAACTTGCCCCAGCTTGGATAGAGGCATAAACATACCACTACATGATGTCCACGAGCAATTAAGCCATTAAAATCCTTATAATATTATAGACAATAAAATACATGAATCACTAAATAAGAACCAGGGGAAGTAATTCACATTAGAAAGCATGTATGTTTTACATGGAATAGCAGAAACTTAATGATCTGAAAACAGAGTGGATGATCTGCATATACAAGTTAAACAAAAGCTTTGATTTATTTGATCCCACTCCCTACAAGCAGCAACACAACATGGCAGAGGTCAGGGCGAACCATCAGCGGTAGTCAGTTGGAGCCACAGCACACGCTCCAGGTGTATACCTGCTCTTATCAAGGTTGTCAATGAATTTGAAATATAGTTGAAAGTTTGATGGCATAATTGTAGCAGGTGTATACCTGCTCATATCAAGGTTGCCAATGGATCTGAAATGTACCTGAAAGCTTGATAACTTCTTATCCAGCAATTCATTCTTAGTATCTACTGCTAATCAGATTTTTTTATACAATGGCTAACTATAAGAGGGTGCAAAAATAATACAATACTCACAATAAAGTTCACTTGTTATATTCTTGTATTACAAATGACCCACATATTCATATCACCAATCTGGACAATCAGCATCCAGTTGCTACTTCGTGCCTTTCTGTAATCAAGACTAAGAGGTGATATTAACTTCGGAAATATGTATGACTACCAAATGACCAACAAAAATGTTTTAAGTTTACTGTGAATCCCCTATGAGATTTGGATAGTCAAGGTCAAGTACATGTGTGTTAGAAAACTAACAAATAATCCAACATATATACTACATTTTCTAGATTAGATTGCTTTGTCTAGCAAATCATGTCCTCAAGAAGATAATAAAAAAGAACTTGCTGAAAAAATAATGTAATACGGATGCTATTGTCCCTACAAAGCCTAAAAAATAAGTCAAGAATTCCTAGCAGAACAGGTTTACAACGAGTAGCGTTGATTCTAAATTCTTCCTGATATAAATACCAGGGCAAAAGTGTGCTGATGTTGCCCAAGAAAAGAAATTGAAATTGCGTTGAGTTGAACAAAATATAGCTTTGAAAAGACATCTAAGAATTAAATTAACAAGTTTTCTCTCCTACGTTCCATTATGTGGAAGACAAACATAATATGCTTTGATTTCCTGGGAGTATCCTCCAACTTCCCTGCCAGCCAAACATAACAGCAACTCTATACAAGCATAAATAAATAGGCCTGTTAGTTCAGAAAAGACTGAATGGTTCAATGTGACTAAGTGCAGATAAAGATATTTACCTTAGGCCTTCAGGGATGAGTTGCGCGTCCCTGGATATGATCACTGGCTGGTGAGGATTGACCACAGGAACATCAAAGCTGACACCATCTGGCCAGACCTCATCAGTTAGCGCTGTGCTGGAAGCTGCCCCACTCTGCATCGCCACGAGGACGGATGTCCACCCGACCACCCCACATACAAATTAATCCAAGAAGGACAAATGTTGCTAGAAATCAGGTTATGAGATGTGAATAATCCAAGAAAGACAAATATTCACTTCTTAATTTTTCCCATAAGCCAAACATGTTATGAGATGTTTTTCATGAGATTGACAAGAATTCAAGAAAACATTAATTCTCAAGGGCATGTCTTTCTTTCTGCCATCCGGCCACTGCTACTCTGCTATTGTTGAATGGAATGGTAAATGGATTTCTTTGGATTAGAGCTACTGCAATCAATCTGCAAAGAATGATAGCATGTGTTTTGGTAATCAATCTGCCGAGGAGATAGATTTACGATTCAAACAAAAAATAAACAGTACAAAGAGTTATTATATTGTTAATTACATAGCAAGATACACTTAAGAAGTTGAAATTGGATCTGCATTGCATATTGCCCTATGCTTGAGGATGCCACTGCAGCCAAGGCTCTCACGTGGGCCACCAGGCACCAGCCAACCAAACTAACCACAACATTAGAATGAATAAATAGTTCCCATAAAATTTACAAAAAGCAAGTGATTTATGTCTCACCGGAATAAATCTAAGACACCCACCTCTGTCTGGTCTGTAATCGAACACCTGATGTGAAGGAATATAAACCTGCCAAAAAGGAAATTAGGTAAACATGCAGTCATTTAAGCTGAGAGAGTACATATTTACAGTGAGTGCAGCACGGAGCAACAGACACTGCATACCTCAATAAAATATCTTTGCAGAGAGTACGCATTCAGAATTACTATGGATATCAACATAGTGCCTTACTGCCTGTATCATGCAATTCAATGTTTAGATATATTGATTCTATCTATCAACAAAATGCCCATACAGCACAAAGTTTAAATTTATCTCTAACTTGACATCCTAGGTCCTATCATTTATGATTTTCTAACAAACTTAGACTGCATACTTTCATTCACGCAAATGAATGTTGTGGTAAATGTTAGAAATAGAGAAGCACGAGGAGCATTTTGAGGCTGAAGACTTTCTGAAGGCACTAAATTTAACACCACCTATGATCTAGTGTGTGTCAACAACTCCCAATGTGCCCACAATAATATGTACAATATCCAAATTTATAAAATAATAAATTTACCTGGCCAATCAACAAACACCCTAATTTTGAATAATCAGTAAACAAGAGCAAATAAGCAGGGTGCAGAAGCTGAAATCACAAAATCTCCAGAATCATTTTACGGAAGGGAGCATGTCCATCACAAACATATGTAAGAACTACAAAGGGTTCATCCCTGCGATGGAACTTTAAACAGGCATCTGCCAGCTTTCCTATTTCAGCGAAGGACTGGCAACATCAATTCGTTTCCCAGGAATAGCTCTTATACCTATCTTCTGAAATTTGTGGTTCCTCTTAATAGACTATAACCTATTTGCAAAGCTAATATATAGACAGAATAGGTAAAGTACAGAATCCGAACTTAAACTCCTTACAATTTGTACAGAAAATAAGTATGAGTGGTAAAGTGTAATATGTTTAGTCTGCTTACTTGACCGAGTTATCAAATAAGCATGCAATTCCCATCGGATCCATACTGACAGATTGTCACTGTAGAGACACACCTCACACCCAATATGGGGGGTGACATTCATATATATAGCCAATATGGCTGGGTATACAAGGAATACAATCAAGTATATATAGCAGGTGCTAATTATAGCTAATCACATATAGACCTGCCTAATACCCGCCCGCAGTCTAAGCGGGAGGATCCCGGACGCATAGACTGGACCTGAATTCAGTAAATAGTTGTACAGGAAGGCCCTTGGTCATGATGTCTGCGAACTGGTGAGAGGACGGCACATGAAGAACCTGAACTCGTCCCAAGGCGACCTTCTCACGGACGAAGTGAATATCAATCTCAATGTGCTTCGTGCGACGATGATGAACGGGGTTGGTTGTCATGTAGACAGCGCTGACATTGTCGCAGTAGACAACCGTCGCCGAAGCAATGGAGACGTGGAGCTCCTGCAGGAGCTGGCGCAGCCGGCAACACTCGGCCACCACATGAGCAACAACACGGTACTCTGCTTTTGCACTGGAGCGGGAGACCATGGTCTGACGCTTAGAGGACCAAGAAATCAGATTGTCGCCGAGGTAGACACAATAGCCGGAGGTGGAGCGCCAAGAATCTGGGCAGCCAGCCCAGTCGGCATTAGAGTAGGCGACCAGCGACTGAACAGGGCCAACATCAATGTGGAGGCCGGAGGAGAGAGTGCCCTTCAGGTAGCGTAGAATCTGCTTGATCATCGAGAGGTGCGGCTCGCGGGGATCATGCATGAAGAGGCACACCTGTTGGACGGCGTATGCCAAGTCAGGACGAGTCAGCGTGAGGTACTGGAGTGCGCCAGCAAGGCTTCGGTACGTGGACGGATGAGCAACAGGGGCACCGGTGGTGGCGGATAGCTTGGCATGAGTGTCAACAGGTGTCGTCGTAGAGTGACACTCAGCCATGCCGGTGCGTTGAAGGAGCTCAACGGCGTACTGTCGCTGTGATAAGAACAGGCCGTCGGCGGAGCGAGTGACGGTGATGCCGAGGAAGTGATGGAGTGCGCCCAGGTCAGTCATGGCAAACTCAAAGTGGAGGCGCCCAATGATCTGCTGTAGAAATGCCGTCGAGGACGCAGTAAGGACGATGTCGTCGACGTATAGAAGCAGGTAGGCGATACTGGTCCCATCTTTGTAGACAAAGAGGGAGGTGTCGGAAGTCGAGGCGACAAAGAGGGAGGTTCGGATGACAGAGACACCAAAAGACACGTAAGTGGGAGTACTCGGGAGGTTTGTTGTGGAGGAGAGTATATGGAATGCTGTGGCGAACAACAGAGCATGGACGCCTGTTCAGAAGGTATGTGGCTGTGGCGAGTGCCT